TCTTCGTCAAGGGTAGTGCAAATTCTCTTGACGCTGCTGGATCAGCAGGGTGCTCCGCCCCTACTGACCCTGTCCGTATTTTGGCGGTCCGACTTGCTGTCGCAGTTTAGCGACATGGTCGGACCCGCGCCTTGGATCTTTCCTCGGCCAACGGCGGTCATGTCGTCCTGTCTTTGGACGTGTTGCGGTGCTTGGGACTATACAATCATGAGCGTAGTGCCCAATCATCTGAAAGCGATGGCATTTTTGCCATTTGCTTGTGACTCAGAGAGCGAGTGTTCGCGCTCTCGATGTAACGGAGGTGCATTGGTTCGGGACCTCTGTTTCCTGTCGTTTCGCTGGACGATAGTTGAACGAGTTATCCTGATACTGTCTCAGGCTGAAGTCTTCTTGTTCCGCATACGCTATCACTTTTTCCAGCGTATGGAAGTCCTCTCGGAACATGTAGGTCTTCACCGGTCCATCTACAAGGCCGTAGATGACCACGTTGATGAGCGTGTGATCATCAACAGGGTCTTCTGTAACGCTACTCGCAAGGTAGCGCAAGTGATGTGCATAATCGTGCACATCACGCTTACCTTACTTGATCCTCAGGAGTGCAGAGCGTGCTCTGGACTCGGCTCTTGGCGGCTCAAACATCTTTTTAAGCCGAGACTTCAAGATCTCCAACGACTCAAACACGTTCGAGTCGTGAAGATTGAGCCCTAAGGCGCAAGTCCTTGCTCGTCCTGTCATATTTGACATGGCGAAGGTGACTTGCATCTCGTCACCCTCGATGTGACGGGCCCGATGGCGTCGTCTAACTCGACGAACCATCTCAAAAAGGGGATCTTCATCGGTTACCTTGTACCTTGAGATGTCAATCTTCAAGGCTTCGGGTCGAAGCATGTGCGTCGGCCCGCCCATCGACTGATGACATCCTTGCTGTTGTAGCAAGGCTATCTTCTGTCTTTCGACAGCAAGTTCCCCTTGTAGGAAATTGTTGGTAGCAGCATGTTGCTGGTCTTTGCTTTGAGACTCCAACATACCGCTGGTGGCGGGTTCGCCCATGAGCATACTCGTAGGCCGACTACCTCCCATTCTGAGTCACTCAGATGGGAGTAGCCTTCACGTGTGACGTAGAAGCTGTCGTCTTCTACGTCTAACATGTTCGTGTTGAACGGACACTAAGTAGTCTTTGGACGAACTACGAAGTGCTACCAGGTGTAATGGGGCACCCTTTGTTTGTAGTGCCGCGAAACTTCACGTACACTAGTGCGTACAGAGGAATGTGATCTACTTGACGACTAAGTTGAGTAAAGGGTAAAAAGAGAATTGTATTTAATATAGTTAAGCTATCAGTACAGCTTCAGTCTTCATCTAACTGCATTTATCTACATTGTCGTATGACGAAACCTGCTCACCACTCATTACGTGCGTCTAGCAGCGATTGGTGGTAATCTTGGTTGATATGTCTTTATCAACCAATCTTGGAGCAGCGCATGAATTCTATCCTACAAAGGCGATACTATTCCTTCAATGTCATCCATCTCGGATAATATTGGTAGGATATTGTCATGCTAGACAATCTCCCTGTAGACACCGTTTGGTGTCGATATCATGTAACGATGTACCCCGTTACAGTATTTGTATGATTGTTTCTCAGAGGCTTAGGGTTTTTACACCGTGAAACCAAAAAAGGTGTTGAATCTCACATGAACAAGAAGTTTCACTCATCTAGAAAGCAGCATAGCAATCTGATCAACGGTCTCACACTCAAAACTGCAGAATCGATGTAAATAAAAGTGAGGTTTTTCGTTACAATTTGGTGAATGTGCCACGAAATGGTTAACTATCTAGCAATATTATCCGATAAAAAAACTCTCATTTTGTCATCTTTCCTATTCTTGCTCAAGGCTCAGATCAGCCATTCTTTCCAAAGAAGATAAATATGCAGAAACAAGCATAGATGCGATTAGTAACGACGAATGAGTCGACCCACGTAAAATGATCTTCTAAATACGCGGCAGCTGATAGTTGTTGTCACCCTCATTTTCGCCAGCGAGCGCTCACTGCTAATACCTCAAAATAGCTAGTCTGTGATGATGAATTGCCAAACAAACCAGACTGAAGAAGAGTTGATTTGTAGCCAGTCATAATCGTTCATGTGACTCACATAACTTTTCAGTCTATCAAGAAATAGTCCAGAGTCGTATGAGAATTCAGAAAACAAGCATGAGACTATGCGCAAAGCCATCATGTTTTAGCGCAAATAGTTGCCCCCCTTGCAGCCTTGAAATCATCTGATCGTCCATCGGTATCTCGGATCTGCCCGCATTGATGTGCGATCGGTCATGCGCATCATTCAGCTCATAGTGGCGAGAAAGAGTGCAGATTATCGATGTACAGGGTGCTAAGCCTGTGTGCAAGATCTCTGAACCACTTTGAAGTAGTCCGTTGAATCCGAAAAGGGGGCCTATGTAACGGGGCACCCTGAAGCTTGTACTGGTGACAGTACAAGCTACTTATTCTGATAACAGAATAAGGCGGTGCCTCGTAACTTCACGTACACTCGTACGTGCAGAGGAAGACGGTAAGAAGAAGCGAGTACTTGGTTAAAGTAAAAAGTAGAACTGTATTTATAATAGTTAATGTCTGCAATAAATCACTATTTATCTTCATCTAACTATGTCTAAATACAAATGTGTAAATCAGTTATCTGCTCACCACTCATTGCGTGCGTCTGTCGTGGCGCGTCTTCGTTGGTTGATATAATGGCCTATATCAACCAATTAGGAACTACTTGGAAGTGCTACAGAATATTGTCCTTATGACAATATTCTGAGAATATAACTCTTATAGTTATATTCTATTAACAATTTCTTATAAATTGTTATGTAACGATTCACCCCGTTACAGCCTAAGAGCTGGTAGTGGTCGTTCTTAGCGAAGCTGGAGACTCTTGAGGTTCTTGCTTTAACAACTGTATGTATGCATGTAGCATAGCACCAATGATGGCTGTCTCTGCATAGTGATGCTTGGTCGTTACGATTGCTTAAATGTGTGTCAAACCCATTGCACAGACGCTGTATGTGCACTACTGGATGTCGATCGTGACTGCCGGTAGACAAATGCATCTGATCCCTTCGTGGTGAGACGACTTAGAGCTTGGTCCGGTACTGCCCAAGGAAACCAATGTAGTCGCGGCTGTTCTTCAGCGACACCCCCTCCCCTCCCAAAAAGCAGGGAATGACTACCTGACCGTCGTTCCATTGGCACGACGACTCAGGCAGCGATCATGTAAAACCAGTAAACCCCGTCGTCATCCTAGCGCATAGTCACTAGCTTGGACGTGAGACCTGCCTCCCCCTCTCTTAGGACCAACTGACGATGCTTCTTGTCCCAGTCAGCGTCCAGCGGTTTGTCAGCTTAAAATGCGAACCTTGTCTGGATCACAGCGGTAGATCTAAGCAACAGGAGTGGCTGGGGATGATGATGAGATTGATTTTACCAACCGTCGATGTTTTCTGTTCGAATGACGACCGGGTTAGTCCTGACATCGTGAGGACGAATTTCGCTGGCCCCGAGTGCGATACTTGCAGTTTCTCGACGGTACAGTCCTCGATCCCGTAGAATCGACTTCTGGCCAGCATGTTTCTCTTGCTATCGCGTATCCATGGATGTAGTTCTCGACCCATTGAAATGAAGCCAACAAAACCTTTGGAATATCCTTGGGTATGTCGTCCGTTACTACCGCTTGAGAAGGAAAGGTTCCGTAGTACAAAATCTCAAATTTTTCATCCCTTCACCAGCTGACAGCTCTAACTAGAAGGTCCGCAGAGTAGCCCTCAATCCGCTTGGTCGCTTCGTTGATATGGCGCCGTCGTGTGTCCTGAGAAGGAGTCACTAATGCCACATTCAGTCCGTTGTCTCCCGACAAAGAATTTGACCTGCCAAGCTGCAAAAAACTTATCCTGTTTCTGAGAAAGCCAGCTATATGATTGCATGCTGAAGTCGTTGTGTCTTGACCGCGACTGAAACGTCCGCGAGGCCGGTGCCACATGTTTGTCTTCGGAATAACGAGCAGCCCTGAGTTACCTCGCGCCGGCTGCCCTTTGTCATGGTTGCATGCGGCCACAGGAACTGCTTGTTCAAATCATGCACCTCCCGCTCCGTTCATTGAGGTGAGTCAAACATTGTTGCAGTGAATGCACGCGATGGATGGAGTTGAGGATCCAAACATGGTTTCTATGTTCGGCTTAGGTCGACAAGTCAGCCATATAAAGGCTCTTTCTTTCAAGCAACGCATGGGAATGTACCGATTGACTATCAACACGTGCCGCAGCACTCAAGGTCAGGTAAGACGACTTGACTTATAAACTTGTTGTTCTCTTCAGCAGACACCCGCTGTCAGCACGCAGGTTAATCCTACGTTCAAGCAAGGTGTTTAAACCAAGTGTGAGGATCGTACTGTTTAGTGTGTCCAATAATGCGCTAATCACCAACAAAATATACACCTGCATCCACCAACTTTATGCCCTCATTCAAAAGATGTCACATCTTGTCCATAGGTGCGCTCAACATTTCCCGGGCACACCAAAGCAACCGAGGTATCGCGCACGCGTACTTTATGTATGTAGAGACTAACGCTAGCACCCGAATTGCGAGTACAAAGCACGAACAGATCATGGCATAGTCACATTTACGATCTAATTCGATGATTTCTTCAATTAAATCGCTACTGAATGTCGCTTAAACACCGTTCACGCCTCGAGAAAAATTTGCTGAACCACCACGAAATACTACGTCCATGTGGCGCTGAAAAAGGCCAGGAGGCTAAATGATGTGGTGCACAGCAACGACACACCATCCCCCCAATAACACCAATCACCCAAGAGAGAGAGAGAGAGAGCGCCCGCGTGTTGTCTCCGCCTCTCCGTTCGACCGCGCTACGACTTGCCACACGTTTGCTGTGTGTCCATCGTGTATCGTGCGGCGTGTTTGCCATCTACTCGTCGGCCATGATCGACCCGTTTAAAGACAAATTCGCGTATTTCAAGGACAATATCCAAACAGCCGAGGATAAAGTACGTGGCTCGAATGGATATTTTCTCGGTCTACTGTTTTAGCTACTCATTTCAGTCACTGGATTATTTTTTACTGCAATTTTTAGGAAGAGTTCGACGCGAGTCAGTACTATTACCATCGGGACGAACTCTCGGGAGCGAAGAGTTTGGGTCTCAGTGGCTCCAGTACCAACGGCCTTGGTACCACTGGCAGCCCGCACTTGAGTCTCTCTGCCTTTCACTCGATGGCCACTGGGCTCGGTGCAGTGGCGATGGATACGGAGACAGCAGGTCAGACACTTGAGCCGAAACAGGTTCTTTCTTCGTCTGGGTATTAAACTGCTGCTATGAGGTAGACGTGACGAATGTTTTTATCGCTCGCTATTGTTTTTCTGCGCTGTAGAATCGCATCTGGCGCCGCTGCATAGCACCTACTCGAGCTACAGTAGCGGTCTTATGCAAGGAGGACCTACTTCAGTGAGCTGCAGTAGTGCATACTTGGCAGAAAAGATCTTTTGGACATGACAATGACTGAGCTGTGTTTGTTTCTGTGCTGCTTCTTTTCCTCTCCACTGGACTTTTGTACGGTAGTTCTTGGGTGGAGCTGGTGTAGGGCATTTGCAAGTGGGGGCCGCGATGCCTCCATCGCACGACATGCATCGCATGAGCTCAGGTAGATTTCGGTCTTGTCTGCGTTTTCGCGCTTTACTTTGTTCAAAGGTTATTGGTGATGATGTTTGAAAGAACCTAACGCAATATTGCGTATGCCGACGGTACAGGACGGAGTTTTCAATTGCCGACAGAGAGTAGTAATAGCACGCCTGATATGTCCGAGTTTCCTGCGCTAAGCTCCAGGTAGGCTGGAAGAAGAGCCGCTTTCTTGCTGTGACAGCTCTGATGGCTGCAAGAAGGCTAACAGTGAATGTACATGCTGAGCAGAATGGGCTCGCTATCGTTGGACGCGAGCTTCGAGGGATCGGCGGCTGACCGAATGCGGGCTCAACCGTCTGAGTTCGTCATTCAGAAGGAAGACTTTCCTGCACTCTCAACGTTTGGACCTGGCGCTTATGAAAAGAGCCCTGTGCGAACACCGGCAGAACTCAAGAGGCACTCGAGCTTCACCTCTTCCGCTGCAGACGGTTTGCTATCGTCGCGGCTAGAGCAGCAGAAGGGTGGGACATCAATAGGTAGCCGTGCGGGCGGTGTGATGTTGTCTGCAATGGGAGTAGGAAGCAGCGGCAGCGTAAATCTAGGCACCGAAGCGTTCAATCATTTCCGCGCACCGCGTCCAGACCAACAGACTGCTAGTGGCGAAGCTAGCAAGGGCAAGCTCGACCCTAGCAACCAGTATGGCCTGTTGGGCATGCTGCACACCGTCATTCGGCCAGGCGATGACTCAAAGAAGAATCTAGCAACGGGTTGCGATCTGACGTCGCTTGGATTGAATCTTAATGCGGCAGAGTACGTTGTCTGGAAGCCGGAGTACTACTCGTTGAAGATATGGACAGCTGGACTTACGGATCATCCTTTATTTTGTTTTGCTTGTACACCAGACCGCTGCATCCAACTTTTGCATCTCCGTGGGCCGAAGAACAGCTGACAGAGGAACCGCAGTTTTCATTGCCGACATGTTACTACAATCAGCCACCAGTGCTTAAGACAACGCATTTGTCCAAATTCCATCTCGAGACACTGTTCTTCGTATTTTACTCGATGCCCAAGGACGTGTTGCAAGCCTACGCTGCCCAAGAGTTGTATACTCGCGAGTGGCGGTACCACGCCGAACTGAAGACCTGGTTGAAGCGGGCGTCTCCGGCTGATGCTGCTGTCGTGAATAACCATTTGAGCTCGTCGGCAGGTGGCACAAGTACTGGAGCATCAGTGGTCGCAAATGGCAACGGCAGTATTGGATCCATTGGTAGTGCAATGGGATCAGGCACAGGGCATTCATTAGCAAACGGCTCACTTGCACCACAGTTCCTGTACTTCAACACCACCACATGGGAACGACGTGTTTTCACGGGGAATATCAACTCGATCAGTGCTGGACTTCTGGGTGAAGAGGAGATTAGGGTGAAGTTTAACGCATCTTCGTAAAATACTACGCACCCCGATCACCGGTTGTGGTGAAGACTGTACTGGTTGTTCGGATTGCATGTTCGTTATGGTGGATGGCTCGCTCGTCTCGGTTGGTTGGTGATCAAAACGATCGCAAAGTTATCCGACCACGGCGTGTTTCAGGTAACAGGGGTTTGCTGTTGATGTTGTTACCCTATTGTTTCCTGTGGTTCCTCACCCCTTTAGTGTTGTAATTGCTGTGAAGTGTGCTAGGAATGCTAAGGAGAAAAAACTTGCAGAGCGACTAACTGTCGTCGTCCGCAAGCCATGCACTAACCCATGCTTGTTCTCTCTGTCATTTCGATACCTGCGTGTCCATGTAGCTCCTTGTGCCTGACCTCCGTTTTCGCGCATTTTCTGCTGGTCACAGTATGCGGGGGCTGCGTGTTTGCCACTTCGCCATCCCTGATCTACGGGCCTTCATATCGGCATCACCTCTGGACTTGCGTTCATCGGAGGTCATCCATTAGCTGCTTGCAACCAAGGGCGAGTTCCAGTTGCTTCAGCCGCTGTCGTTGCGTCTGCACATATGCTACGAGCTCAACTTTGTCAGCCTGCAACTTCTTCGCCTGTGCAGCACTGTTTACAGCTTTCTGCGCAAGCCGAGTCGAAGCGGCGGCATGTTTTTGTTCGAGTGCCGTGACTTTGATCGTAGTCTCGAGCGTGAGTCGTTTCTCCCGTTCGTTCTGCTTTCGCTTCACACCTTCCAATTGGGCTTGAAGTGTTCTAACAGCCAACGGGTGGTACAGGTAAGAAGCTGTATGACACTTGCAAATGTTGCGACCACGAAACTTACTGGGTCTCGCGTTGACTGTCGATGACGATGGCATGCATTCTAGCGCGAATTCGCGTGAACTGTACTTCACCAGTTGCTTCCACACTCTTGTCGTTCGATTTGGACAGGCAACCGCAAGACGATGACTCTGCTGGAGGTGGCAACAGTAGCTGGTTCTCTCGCGTTGAGACCGGGCCTTCTTGGATTAGAGACATTGTCTTCTTGCCTGCCTCAACAGTCTCTATTTCCTGGTCATCCTCGTGACCGTTTGCGCGGATTAGACTTTGGAGCTCAATGATTTTCTACAACAACACAAGGGACACGCGGGTTAGCATCTACGCCGTGAAGTACAAATTCGATGAGGGTTGCGACTCACCGACTGCATGAGGTGCTGTTCCGAAGTGCGTCGCTTCTTCTCATCTTCAAGACTCTTTGTGAGCAGCGCTACCTGTTGGCGGAGCATACAGAGTTCATCTTCACTCTCGTCCTCATCCTCGTCTGATGAAATCGGGTGATCGGGTAAATTGCTCACGGACCCGACAGGAATCGGACTACTGCATTGGCTGCTGCGACCGAATTCAGAGGTCGGGAACATCGGAGAGCACCCGCGCTTTGATGTAGTTTGAGCAGAGGGGTCTCGCTTTACTATCGGATTGTTGTTACCGTTGGCGAATGCTCTCGGACTGTGGACCATGTCTACCACTGATGCTGAAGTTGCGGAGCATCGATGTCGGGGGCTATAGATGGCTGACCCGCATGCAGTATGTATTCCTCGTAACCGTTGCAAGACGGAATGAGGCACATCTCCAGTGTTCGGCTCTTTCATTTGCCAGACTCTAGCGGCACCACTGCCCTGCCTCGCTGCTACCACTGGCGAGCGCTGCAGATGAGTCTTTTTTTTCGGTGGCCACGTGCAGCCCGGATCTATCGCTACCGAAGCTTGGCCGAGCCTCGGTGAGACTGGTGCAAGTTTAGGAGTGGACATCGGATGACCTTCCGCCCAGTCTGCTGATGTACCCAGAAGGTCCATGCTCGTGGTCGCCTTTGCGATGGCGTTGGTGTACGTGTTTGAAGAGTGGAAGAGTTCACTCGCACGCCTCGATGCGAAGAAGTTCAAAGCTGAAACGCCTGGTTGGACTTGGATCGCGTTCAGCAGCTATAGAAAGCTGCAGTCGTGAATACGCTACTCACAAAAGCTCTGACTAACAAAACGGTGATCGGGTATAGTTGCGTGCGAGTTTTTCGCAAACAAGCTCGCAAACTCGTGGTTGGAAGTTGCAAGCGGTCGTTTGGCTTGGTTTTTTTCTGCGAAACTTCTACAAGTCAGATGCAATTGCCATCCTACTGCAGAATTCCACGCAGTGCAATGACCTAATACCACCAGCACCATTCGGCGACGACAGGTGGGCTCGACGTCCCTACACGACGTAACGGTCCGTGAGAATTCGCTGCTTTGGTTCGCTCTTCCTTCGTAATCGACTTCCGGCTGTCTAATGGTGGTACGTCTCCGAACACGCACGTGTGTTGGTCTCGTATGATGTTTGCCTGAACTCTTGCAAGAGACCTGAGGCAGCGGTCATGTTGAAGTTGTAAAACCAGTTCAGATAAAGTATCTTTGCACTTGGATAGAAACACCTGTGTAGGACGTACGACGTTTGGAAGAAGCACGCAAGGGCAAAGTATTCTGCTCACTACATACATCTACGATAGATGTAGTCATCTCAATGAAGTGGCTTCCAGCGCATGGAGGTTTCTCGACCAAGAAAGCGGGAAACTCGTCCTGTTTACGAGCACCTTTGGGATCTGTAACAGAACAAAGAAGTCTCAGGTAGAACATCCTTCTGACCAATCCTCGAATCAACCTGCAGTGAAGCGCATAATATCTCAATTACAATGTGCTAGCTTGAGCAAAGCACGCGAGAAATTTACGATCGGAGTCGTGCCTAACGTGGCGTCAAATCTCAGTCACGAACATCACCACATCCAACAGTGTGGTGATATTTACCAACACTTGCCGCCTCGTTTGTCAATCGGTCGGACAGAACGTTCTTTGAAAACCTTTGAAAAGACACGAGCGACTCGGCATGAAACGCGGCGCATGGATCTATTCATGGAATTCGCAATTTTTCTTTACTGTTAGGCGGACGGAGAGCATGAGTTGTTGTTTTACACAGTATGCTGTCGGTAAAGAAATTGCTATCGGTGTCGATTATGAAAGCGCTTGTACGTGAGTCTTCCTTTCACATCGACGTTGCTGCGTGTCCAAAACCCACTTCCACCATGTTCTCGGGTCAAACTCTAGTCCAGATGCTCAGCGACACTTGCAGGAAAAAAAAAACGACCGCGAAACGACGTGCTTAGACTTTGCGAAATGACTGAATCTAGCTCTGCGATAGTAACTCCATTTGCGCAGCCAAGAAACAGGTTGACACTCTTCCAGCACTTGCTGCTAAGCAGGTTGTAGCCACTTTCCTTCAATTGAACTGCTACCGAGTAGAATGTCATACGTGAATCATATCGTAGGAGCAGAATGTTGTCACATAGCGTCGCCCGCCTGACTATTGCAACGTTGACACGCAGTCGATACGAAGTGATCGTAAAAGTTGAGACAAACATGGTTGCGAGATGAAGTTTCAGCTGTTGCAGCAGTGTTTAATATCTGCTTTTGTGCTGACATCGATAGTGCGAGTTGCGCGAAGAACTCGACCGTAGTGCAGGAATGACTAAACGCTGACCGCACCTTCAGACACCTTCATCGTCTGCGATGCATGCTGCACGCTGTCAATGGTATAAGATCAATCAGGCATGGAAGGTACAAGAATCAGCATCAGCACAGCAAAACGGTAAGGAACTATATTGGAGATGCAGTTGCCATGGGTTGCTCCATGGCAATGAAGCAGTACGTAAAATGTAGCTAGCTATGTGTGATGCGAGCTTGCTAGTAAAGCGTAGACGCTTAGCTCAGTCAGGCGACAGAGGACGACAGAGGCACTGTGACAGTATTCACACCGAGCAATCGCCCGTAGGTTGTCTGCCACTGCTGTTAGCCTTATGGAGCGATCGCAAAGCTGAGCGCGTACACGAAAGAACGACGCCATTTGCTACACAGGTTAGATCCGCCCACCAACAATGAGAGCGCGTATAGGCTCCGGAATTAACATATGCGAGCAAGTGCAGCGCATTGTCCACCAAGAGAGAAACATGCTATTGCACAACCGAACCCCTTTCAATAGGACCGTTGATGCGAGTCGCGGCCATCACCATTCTTACACCTTGGCTTGAGTGTCCGTTCGTTTCTGCTGCACATAATGATGACTCCTCGAACGAGTATCTCGGTCGTACCCTTTGTCTCCATGGCTAGTACAGGTTCGTTGCATCGCAGTAGTCATCAGCGGCAATCCAGATATGCTCAGGACACCTAGCATCACTTACTTGCTCTTGTAGAGGTGCACACTGGTCGAACACTTCGTGTCGGACTGACATCTCCCAGGAGTTCGACCTGCACGGACACTGACAAAAGTCGTGGAAACCTCTCACACGTTCACACTAGCGGCACAACCTCATCAGCTCTCCATTTCCTGCAACTGCAGTGGAGACTGTAGAAAGAACGAGAGGTCGTGAATGAATGGGTTTTCCGGCTAGTGCAGTATGACACGATGGACGTGCTGGTGGTCGCACGTAATTCAATTGCTGAGAACCAGCTGGAGAAATCTCAAGTGAATCGCAGCACGAACGAGACCGTTGGCCTTTCACGCACTTTGCAACGACTTGGAATCACAGTTTGACGTTCGCAAGGAAGAGGCTTGCAACCTTCGCTGTATCTTCCGACCTAGCGTGGCCTAGCAGCAGCGTCAAACGATCAGTCATTTCTTGAACCAAAGTATGCAAACACGACCAATCGAGCTCTGGCGATGTCACAAGCGGTTCAATGAAGAGTCGGAACATTTTGGCGCTTGTGTCTAGCACTCGTTCGTCCCCGTCACAACGTAGACGCGAACAGTCTGATCTAAGCACCCGAAGGTGCAGAGGCCTTCACGATCCGAGCTAAGCGCAGGCACAGGGAACGCTCCTATTAGCAAACAAGTGGTCATCAAATTGAATCATAAAGGAGCAGCGCACCTCCAGTCCATGCTTACAAACGGTCGTGTAGACACCACCCAGGAGTTGAGCAGCTCCACCGTGCCACTGGTGCCATACTGCCGTCTATCGGCCTTCGTGGCCTCTTTCGAGAGCGAAGTGTGGCTGCAAGCACACCAAAACAAGTCGTCAGATCATCATACCGCAACCTGCAGCCCTCTTACAGCAGCAGCCGTACTATTTGTACAAATTCAAGCCGCCGTTGCCTCCACAAGTCATTAACAGATCGCGGTTCTGCGGCAAGAAGCGCCCTTGCCAGAAGTAGACCGGTGCGCCTTCTCCGTCATGCAGGTGAACCCTCGGTCAAGGTGACAAGTCTGCATGTCATAGATACAAAAAGTAGACTCGAGTGCGGTGACCAGCAGCTTGTTTCTGTCACAATCGTCGCCATCGAACTGCACGTTCACGACGCCGCTGTGGCATTTGGTCTCCCACCGGATCGAGTTCGTCCGCAGGTCAAACATTTTAACGTCACCATTGTCATAGCCGCCCACGACGCAGCGGTCAGAGCCACTACGCGCATTTCCAAAGCACACGGTCCAGCACTCTTGTGCTCCATCTTGGTCCCCGCTGGCCAGTGTCGCAACTGACTTGGCCACCCGCGTGTCCCACACCCGCATGAAGCCGTCACGACCGCCTGTGACGAGCTCTGGAGCTCCGCAGCTACTGCTTTGTCTACCACACCCATCAATTGCATTGACAATGGACTCGTGCGCCTGTACCGAGTACAGAGGCACGTCAGCCGTCTCCAGGTCCCTGTTAACAAGCAGTTTCGACGCTCGTGAGCTCTACAGATGCAGCCAGAGCTTCACTCCCTCGAGCGTACATCTGCCCATTACCAGACACTCAGGACACCTCGATAATCACCAGTTGCCAAGTGCCGCTCTGCCATTGCCGAAGCTCCAAATGTGCCGCACTTGAGACCCTGTAGCTTTTCGTGCATCGCGAGCGTTTCGAGTTTGCCCTGCTTGAGGCTGTAGACAGCCAGTGCCCCCGTCGAATTGAGCGGATAGACGCCTATGGCTACGAACCGGGCAGAAGTCGGGATCCATTTTGTATCGTGCGGTACGAAGGACACGCTTTGCGTCTCGTACTCGAGGAGCTGTGGTGCGTCGTCCATAGCGTAGAGATCGTTTGAATGTTGAAGTTGTGCAAATAAATGACTGGACGGGGCGCGTCAACTGAATGAAGATGTGGGAACGGGATGAATAGCAGCAATCAGGACTGGGCGACTGCGAGTTGTCCTTTCTATGCGCTAGAGAGAGTCGGATGTAGGGGTTTGATGATGACGCATCATCCCATACGTAAGTCGTACACAGATCCAGACACACAGACACAGTATGAAAGACTTGTCCTGGGCGTCACTTTTGGATTGACACGGACAGAAAAGCCGCTTCGCTTGCGCTTGCTCGTTGTCTGGAAATAATAATTATTTCACCTGATTTCTTCCGCCGCTGCATGCGTCAAGTAAACAGAAAGAGGCAGACCTCGCGTCGTGGGAGCCAGTCACTTTTTATAAAATGACCATCTGGTGAGAGAAACTCGAACAGACTCTGCGAAAAGCTCACGCAAAAGAAGCCGAAAAAAAGAGCGCGTCAGAAAAGACATGGCGGTCTCCACAACTGGTCCCACTTTCAAGGCACCAGTGTCTCAAAGCGGGGACTTGACTCCTTTCACTTCGCATACCCTCTAGCAATTAATTATCATCCGCACTCGACCCTTGCAGTGCCTCCCATTCCACCGACACAGCAGAACGTGCCCTGTCAAAACTTGTCGTGTGGGACGGCGATGTCATGGTATGCGAACCAGAGTGAGTTGCACGCACTGACGCTCGTGTCGGCCGTGTCTTCGGTGCTCTCCATCATTGGCGCTTCCTATATCATTGGACGCTATTGGTACGCACGGAGACTCAAAGCCAAGTCGCTCTCGGTTTACGCCGCGTCGCCCCATCATCTCGACGTGACGAAGGAACTGATCCACATCATTGCGTACCTGGTACTACTTGTCTCCTGTTTGTCCTTTGATCGTGACGTTGATTGGACGAAAAGCCGCGTGCATTTCCCGATCCGCAATCCGATTCGTTCTGGTGTTAACGTCCGGCTTTTGTTCGTGGCCCTTGTTGCTATTGCTGACATCGTGTCCGTTATTTGCTATTTTACAATTTGACAGGACTTGTTGGGCGCCACTGGACGCGCGTGGGGCGTGCTGCCAACGGAAACCTTCGACCAACAAGCAGGAGAATCAGTGACATTCGTGTGCAAGCTGCAGGCTTTTCGTACGATGGCACTGTTGGAATTTGTCAAAAATTGCACAATCTCATCGTCTCAACTTGTGTGTCCAATCGATGGTTATGGCTGTATGGTTGTTGCTGTGTATCTTGTCTCTGTTGCTAGTTATTACGTTTGGGGATGGCGCTCCAATTGCGTGGAATTTCATCATTACTCTTAATCTGTACCGCTGGGTGTGTATGGGCGAGGACCAGCAAATGCTCATGAAGAAGATCAAGTGGTACATTGTCAGTACGATGCTCATCGCCCTCGGCATCCCCACTGTCTGCCTCGTTTTCAACAAGTTTGGTGACGCAGGTCTCTGGTGCTGGGTCGTGGTCACAGACGACTCGGTCGAGGAACTCTGGTGGATGTTTGGTGCACTTTACTTCTGGGTCGTTGTAGGCGGCAGTGCCATGACTGTTCTTCTCGTGCTTGTCAAGACCAACATGAAGAGAAGACTCAAGACGCACGTCAACGAAGATGCGAATGACGCCTATTACGCCGTGGTGCATAACCTCACCTTGTACGTTTCAAGCTTCATTTTGTGTTGGCTGCCGGCCGTGGTGCACCGCGCTTTCGCTACGTACACGGGCAAGACGTCTTTCACACTCGACCTGCTGCATGCTGCAATTGTGCCGCTTCAAGGCTTTATAAATGCCGTCATTTATGGCAAATTTCATGTCTGGGTCGTACGTCACGTTCGTGAGCCGTGGGTCAGCAATGGTGGGCTGTCTACGAAGAATAGCAAGACCGTAGAAGGCTTGCTGCGACAGTCGGTACTATTGCGGGAACAAGAGCGGCAGCACATGGGCACGGTGGCCATCTTCGTCACGACTTTTGACATGAATTGGTCGCCGTGTCCAGCAAACTTAGAGGATTGGATCCCGGCAGGAAAAGATCTGTACGTATTCTCACTCCAACATTGCGTGGAAGTACAAGCCATCGAGCAGGTGATCCGAGGGTATCTTCTCCAGGTGAACTATCCCATCGCCTACCGGTCCATCACGTCGATTGCTGGAACGGCATTCCGAGGCCACGTTCAAGATGTAAGTACGCGTCCAACTTTGTTCTGGAAAGAACAATGACGAGAACTGATTCCATTGGTGTTTGTCGTTGTACAGGCGTCAGTTTGTCAAATCGTTTTCGTGAACAATGCCGATGATGCTAGCGGTAACGTGAAGCTCGATGCAACGGATGGTCGCATCTGGGCGCAGCGGAAGACTTTCGACGAGGTCGTGGGTATTCCCATCCGGTACTTTGGTGTCTCTATCGCATTCGTTTCATGCAACCTCAGCACTTCAATCTCTAACGGCTCGCAGCGACTCGATCGACCCATGGAAAGCAATTTGTACGCCAAGCATGCAGTCGCCTCGAGTCTCATTCACTCGTTCTGCATGGACGCGGACCGAGCAGCAGTCGACTTTCCGAACTTGTATCACCACACAATTGTTTCTGGAAACTTGAATTACGACATCGATATGCCCACATCTGCGCTTGCAGCAGCAATCGACCAAGCATACAAGGCTGCATCATTGCAGAGAGCGACGGATACCGCGATTGATGCGCAAATCCGAGCAGTTTGCAATTATGAGACTTCCTGTAGCAAGAAAAACGCAAGTAGCCAACTCAGTGACTCCGATGTAGAGGAAAGTTACGGTGGCACTGGACGGAGCTTTCAGCGAAGCAGTGCTGGAGCTTCGTCGTCAACGAGTGGTGACAGCAGATACGAGGAGGTCTTCACTATTTGTGAGGACGGCATTCCGCTGACGATGCTCAAGCCGGTTTGTGAATGCCAACATCAACCAAGTCACTGCAAGTGCAGTGTGGACGAACGAGATCCAGACGATGCGGCTACTGTCATCCACAAAGAGGATGGAAAGGTTGATACAACATTACGGCCGACTGACTGGGCTTCTTTCTTGGACAATCAACTACCAGTACAGGCTCTCGAAAGCCGGCGGGGGGTATCTCTTTTCGCTTGTAAACATCGCGCTCTGGATCGCTTGACATGTAGCGACCATTTTGCACCACGAAACCACAAGAAGATCCGAGATTTGTTAGCGAAGTCGGATCTCGTTACTGAAAATACGGCTCGCAAGTGGCTGGAAGTGCTTCGTTACGACGAGCTGCAGGCATCAATTGAGGCAAAAGAGATTTTCACTGGGTTCGAAGAACCTCCCATTCAGTTCCTACCTTCTTTTCCGCGCAAGATCGGTGTAGCTGCTTCTTTTTCAATGGTTGGTGAGCCTTCGTGCCAAGAACTGTTCTGTGAAACCAACGGAGAAATGCTTGTCGGAGATTCTCGACCAGCGTACAAGGATCGTGTCATGATACACTCCTTGAACGACACGAAGCAGCGGATCAGGAATGTGGGCTATTGGTCGTGTGAGGATATTGTAACGTCTACTCACAAACCGGTCTGCAGCATCTACGAGCTCGAGATCGACAGTTACTTTTCTTATAACCTCGATGAAGCCGCAGTTGCAGATATGCGGCAGGGTAACCATGCTCTACGCGACAAAAAAGATGTGCATGAGTTTAAACTCAAATTGGTGAAATTGGATGCGAACATTTGGACGTACGGAGAGCGTGATGGTGGCTCCTTCGTCCAAGTCAACGGGTATCGCCGACGTGGGAATGGATCCATCCACTCGAGTCATACGACAGGTGGACGAAGCAGTCGTGGTGCACTTAAATCGAGCAGCACGCCAAACAGCATTGGATCTTCTCGACACAGTGTCCAACTACCAATGAATTCCAGGAAGCCATCGATCGCTCAAGCGGTCGCACGTGCACTGCGAACGAGTCGGCTACGCTCGCGCAGCACTGCAAGTTCGAGAAATGGTACATTCAACCAGTACTCAGATTTCACAAGTGGACTGGCGGTAGTAGCACATCCATTAGCTGAGACCGGCGACCGACTCTCCGCCCTCGCGGCTCCTCGAAATGAGCTCATACCAGTGGAACCCGTGAGTATCTCGACCATCTTTCCTTTACCGTCAGAGGATATCTACGCTCTTCAGCGAAAAGTGTACGAGGTCGCCCACTTGGTGCAGAATGGCTTCCAGTCCAGTGCTCGTGTGGACGACGATGAGGAATCTCAATTGGCCTACACGAACTTTCGCACGGTGGCGTGGAAAGAGGCAATGTCCAATGGCGTGACGCACTCGGCCATTACCAAGGCAGTAAACGGCGGAGTGCACATTGCGATCAGTATTGAAGCCGAGAAGGGCTTCGGCGGTCAGGGTGTCCTGTGCTTGAAAGAGTCAGACTTGATCACGCACGCCGCCCCTGTGATTTGTGAGGCTGTGCCGATCACGTTCGATGTGATTTTGACGTGGGGAGGCAGGCACGTGGGTTATCTTCATGGAGATGTCTTGTGCTCGATGTAGGTCGCCTCTTGTTGGCACCGTTCACACTGGTACAAAAGCCCTTGATTCGTTGCGACGCGATATTTTCGCTTGCCATCCTCGATTTGACAGCCCGAAAAGCAAAGGCCGACCTTGGCGCACTCTTCGGAACCCACCAGGACCACCAGAGCTTTGAGTGTGTATTTATAATGTTGTGCATGCTTCAGGGGACTGAGCGCAACCTCAAACGCTTCGCGCGTTACTTGTTCATTATCCTGGATGACGCAGGCGTCAGTAACAACGGCAAACACGAAGCTCAGGAATAACTTGTTGAACTTTTGCTGCCAATAACGCATACTGGAAGGTGCTGAGCAGGCGACGAAGAAGGAGCAAGAGGCTGGATGTATCTCGATCACTGTCCCTGGTTTTCTCGACCTTCAGCATTTTTATCGCTCATGAATGATCCCTGCAGACTCTGGTGCAGATTTACATGCGTACGCCGACCTCGATTCGTTCCCGTCACTGCACGCAAGTGCTCGTTGCGGACTACTGATTACTACGGTTTTGCGCTGAATAAACTTGCCAGGCTGCCCGCTTAGCTTGACGTGGCAAATTTTCGTGATCACAACTTGCCAGGCTGCCCGCTCAGCTTGCCTTGACGTGGCAGAGTTTCGGGATCACAACTTGCCAGGCTGCCCGCTTAGCTTGACGTGGTAGATTTTTGTCATCACAGCATACGGCATGTCTATTGCACCAGCTCCGTTTGACTATGCAAAACTCACGTCAGTCCGTTGGCAGCGCTATTAAACCACTTCAACTCGTGAGATCTGCTTGCCGCAGACAACTTTCTTCATGTTACCATTCGCCTAGCAAAAGACGAGCTTGACTCCAGCAACAAACAACGATCCGCTAGTGTTCACTGTACACACCATCCTTGAACAAGATCGTCAGCGCATTAAAAACGAGTAAGCATTAATGCCAGAAATACAAGAGCGGGAAACAACGTGTATGCGATATGTAAATTTGGTGGCTATGGCCAGGCGGATCGAATGCTCTCCGATCGTTGCCTTTCAACACAGCGTTATCTGACACGCTTACTGGCCCCAGGCAGCTTATCTGCCCTCGATGCTTACGCCTGTAGCCCGTTTGGTCTTCTTTCCAGGCTTCGCGATCTCTTGCATGCGCTTAGTCAAGCGTGCCTTGCGAGAATCCGAGTCCACTTTCTTCGTCTGCACGGCATTCATATCCACCTTCGACTGAGGTCGAAGCAGGAAATCAATGTGAAGCTGTTCTGGTAGCTCTGCACGCTCGGATGCTTCAGTCTTAGAACCATTATCGGCACCACGGGCATTGAATACGTTACCACCTCGATCAGTCGAGCGTGCTTGGCTCTTTGACTTGTTCTGTCTGCGCCTGCAAACAGCCAGTACATCAGTATCATACGAGGACGTAGCAACCATTCGTCCAAACGATAGATCTTACAGACGTCCACGACGGCGATAAGCCTCGTTCTCAGCTTTTTCGGCTTCTAGCTCAGCCAGCTTCGAGAAATCTAGAGTCTTGTTGAAGACCGCGCGGCTCCAGCGTTCGATCAGACTCCGACAGAGCTCCTTGTTCTCAGGCGTCTGCCATGCACAAACAACAAGTCAGCTCCGTCGTTCTGTTGGAAACTCCTGGCATCCTATCAGGTGTTGCACCTCTTGCGGGTGCTTCATCAACTGCATCACAACCTTCCCGAGTCCACTGCGCTTAAGGTGCTCCTTGAAAACTAAAAAAACAAGCTCGAATAGTCAAGATTCCATTACTTTACCGCCAATGTGAATGGGAAGTATGCAACGTGCCTGGCATTTTGCTGACCATATCAAGCATCTTCGTGCGTAAGCCGACATTAGGCAGCGTGTCATCCTCAAAAGGCTGGATCCATTTCTTCACAATCTGCTTTCCACACTCCAAGAGTCAGCACAATGTTTTCGTTGTGCAACAACTTTCCGCCAATGAGCAAGTAAATGAGCTCTGACGTACAGTGAGCAGGTCAAAATCCAACAACATGGGCTGAAACTGTAGCTTGCGCAGAATATGCAGGGCGCTGTCCACAAACTTAATTTTCTCGAGCGCGGCACGACGTTCTGCCATACTTGCGAGGTCGTCAGCGTAAGCTTTGTCCATCCGGTAGAGCACTTCCTGTGTAATTTGCTCCATCTCCTGCGGCAACAAGTTCAGCTTCGCGCGAGCGCGTCCCGTCTTGAGCGATTTTAGTGTCCGATCAAAGAAATCGTCCTTCTGCTCTTGCCTCGGCTCCTGTTCATCCATCGGACGCTCGTCATCAAAATGCTGACGGTCCTCGGCGTACTCGCCTAGCACATCTGCCAGGTCGTCGTCCCGATCAATAAAGTCCTCATCGTCTTTGGTAGTAGCCACGTCTTCTCCAGAGTCATACTCATCGCCTTCATCGCGCTGCTTGCGACCTCCATCGTCGTCACGAGACTTTTTGACACGTTTGACAGGCGGTGGCAAAGGACGCTTGGCTGGTTTCTCCTCCTCGCCGCCGCTCTCCGAGTCCGAGCCAAATAATCTGCAATGAATTTTGACGATTGTCGAAAATGAACACGAGACGAAAATGCCGCTACGTCAAACAGTCAAAAATAGATGGCAATACCCCGAGGCATCGGCTGTTGTCGACGTCGTAGCTGTCAAAAATGGCATTGCACGCGAAAAAGAAAAACTGTGTCATCAGCTCTCAAGACCGATGGGTTCACCATTCAAAGATGAATCGTTCAAGATACTAGAGCACGTACGGCGAGGGACCTGTTCGTCACCAGAGTCTCCTGAGTCCTCGTCGCCAAACATCTCATTGATACTGCGCTTCTTGTGCTCGTCATCTGTCAAAAATTGCACTCGTGGTCAGAAATAAGACACGTTTCTATTCGACGCATGTGTGTGCCGGGTACGCGGGATCAAAAGGGGCGTATGGAGCTGTGAGTGAGACAGCGCAGTCACTTACCGTCAGCCGTCCCCATGGCTGCGATACGTTTGTCTGGCTGATACTTTATATTTGACATTTTAGACACCAGATTGGTTTGACCATTACGTAAATTAGATGTGGAGCAATTTTTATGATCTGATTCGCTGGAAAAAAGCTTGAAGATGTCTATATTTGTGAGGTCTAAAAAAGAATGCGGCTGGACATGCATTACTCGTATTCACGACTAATTCCAATCATAAGATCAACTTCAAGCAGTAGGTATGTGTCATCGACGCTTTAGAAGTATCTCGGAGCGTGGGATGTGTCATGCACTAAAAAGTGTGGTGTGTGCGAGGCATTCAGCTATCTATGTAAAGCAGAAGTCATTTACTCACAAGCCCGATTATGTCCACACTCAACAGCTACATCTGCTACAACAAGACCATCTTGGCGCAGCTTTGGTTGTGGTTTTGTTGTTGTGGATCCGATGCGATTCGTCGAGTGGAGCTGTATCCGAACAATGTTTCATTCCGTAGTTGATGTAGTATAACGGAGTGACGCCCGCGATGATGAAACTACGCACTGCAGTGGAACATCCCGTGTACGTGCTTTTGACACCCGACGCTGCGTCCTCCTGCAACGTCTCACTTTGCCGTTAAACTCCATCGCGCTGATGACTTTACTTTTGTTCGTCACTGCTCAATCCCATGTGCTCTCGTCTTGAAAAGTATTGCAGCATCTGTTGTCGTTAAGAGACAGAAGCAAGCAAACAGATAGGACGCTTGTGAAGAGCTGCGATCGCATGGAAACTATCAGAAATAATTGATGTCAGCATAGAGCACCGAAATGTCGTCCAAACTACATTCTACTCAGGGCAAAAGGAAAATGAAAGAGCGACATGCAGTAGTTTATGCGCCTGTTCAATTTCTGACAGGAACCGGTGATCTTTGTCAAGGTGTAGCATATGTTCGTAAAGAATACAATCATTGACTTGGGTGATTGCAGCATTGCGTGAGTCTATATCGAGCCATATATTGTGGTAGTTGGACGATGTAATCTTCCATGCGATACATCCTTTTCATATCCAAGATGTGAAGCCACTTGACAACTTCAAACGTGACGTCGTCAGAGTAAAGCAGAATGGCCCATGTTATTTGCATTTGTGCGTTCTGATTGTCATTGTCACATTGCTTTGATTAACATGTGCATGACATTTACGCTTGCGTCAGACGCAGACGGGAGACAAAGTCCTGGATGACCGAGTGCGTAAGTCGACATCGACGGATCTCACGTTGCAGGGTTCTGCTGATTTTACTGCAACGTCTCTTATGACAAACATGTTGGTCAGATTACCTCAAAAGAGAGCTGCGTTGGGACTTACCCGTTGAGTATGGTGCACTCTGTTTGTACTCGAGTGCATTTGATGACTGGGTAAGGCCAGTTTATGTTTTTCCACTACATGCAACTGTAATCCTCAATTTATGATTTCACAGACCATCGTTCGGAAAAAGTATTGAATGAGATACGTATAGACGGAAGGGGCACTAGACGGCATTACTATGCCTTCATGTGCTCAAGCTTGTGTGTGGCATAAAGCCGCGGCCTGGTCCGTATGCTACGGATGAACGGATAGTGGCTTGAAGATAAATGAGTGCTCTGACCGCAAAATAGTTACAATGAACAGGCTCAGCCTTCCTGCTTACCTTGTGCGTAGTTGCTCGAGGCAGCACAAGTATGCCTCCTGCGCGCTGTAGAGCTGTGAATTAACATCCGAGCGATAGCTAACGTTAACTCAGCAGAATTGCGAGGAAGATCCAGTCCGTCTTGCACGAGCAGAAGAAGATATCGGGTAGATTCGATATGCACTGACGTGAGGAAAGGTCCATTCAGTGTGTCATGCATGCGTCCCCGCACAGCGTCAATTGGTAATCATTACCAATGCGAGAGGCGTATGAATAATCAACTTGTTAAAGAGAGCCACATGCCGTATTTGTACAAACACACTCGACAAACTGCACAGCGTAATCGAAGGACATCTTGTAGACGTCGCATTTTTCTAAAATTTCACGTTTGTGCTCCGTTTTCTTTGCTTTCTCAAACAAGCGGCATAGCTCTATCTACTGTGAGCTTCTATGTATTTCCATCACTTTTTCAGATGTAGCTTTAGTAAGCAACCAACCTCGTGCGTTTTGGAAACTTGCGAATATCTAACGACCGCGCATCGACTAGCAAGCTATGTGGCTGTAGCAGACGATTCGATTCATCATAGCACTCAATACTGGTTGTTGTCGACGTCGGTCACTGCATGCACGACCAGGTTGCGGCAAATTCGATACAACTCATGCAGCGGTAGCTGGTATTTTTTTTGCTCTCCGTCAGTCTGACCAGCTCATTGCGCTGAAGACGTATATACACACACGAGATGCAAATACCCAGGACTTTTATTCGTTTTTCTCATGCGAAGTATGCGAGGGCATCACCAGGGCTGCAGTTTGACCCCAGCCACTCGGTACACAGATCGACATGCTTACATTCTAGCAATAGTCCATTATCGAAAGTTTGCGAGATCTCACTTATCGCGGACGCCTCAAAACGAGTAGAGTATTCGTACTGACGCTATTGGATCGTGATGCATTCGTAACAGCTCAACGACGTCAGATTTCTAAAACGCTACGCATTCCTCTTTGCGCTTGTCAGAAAATACAATCGATCCATTGCTTCAACTTCTCGCGGCTAACAGACCGCTTGACGTTCGTTCCAACGATGAGCTGTCGTATGATGCAGTAGCTGGCCTCCTTCAATAAAACCTAGTATGGCTAGCTCCCTCCCTCTTTGGTCCTCCGAGAAACTCGAGAACTCTCCTCAATTTTTCAACCTTCTTGGTATGTCTCGTCTACGACCAAGTTGTGTGGTTTTCGGAGCGGTTGATGCGAGCTCGTTGAGACAGTCAGCTTATGTAGGATTACAGACCACTGAGCCTGTCGTAGGACGAACTTATCAAAACCGTTTTCAGTGTCGGTCAAAGGAATCTTCATTCTGTGTTGTTCAAAAGGAATGCGCAAGTGTTTGAGCGCAGTTCAAAGTTGGATTGGTAGGCGAAGCTGATTGATTGAGTACCAACTATGCACACAATCGACTGTGGTGATCTCAGAACGCGAACGAAGCAATGCAGAACGAGAAGCTTCTATGCGGTAAGATAGAATGCTGACGACGCGATGAGATGTTGTATCCAAACATAAGACTAAGTTCAATTGCCTATAAACGGAAATGCTTCCATGGCAAACCTTGATAATTTCAGAGTTCTCGATCCATCGTTATCGCTGGTCTAGTAGATCGCATGCATGCAGTATCCCAGTGAAGAAGGATGTGCGCGAGAGATGAGCAATGTTCAACTCGCAGACCATCTCCGGACTTTCAACAGACGTGCCTTTAATTCTGTCAACTATCGTGCAGTAAGATCCGGCATGAACTCTGCTGCAGTGGTTGGTTACGATACAAACACACCCAGCGTCCAAGGCTCAACGTGTTTGCGAGAGTTGATGCGTGCAGTAGCTACTGAGAAAAACACACAGAGATACGAGTCATGGTAAAGCTAACACTTATGCTGAGTTCCAAATCTCACCAGCGATCAGTCTTGGGTGGTATTAGTTCTTAGCGCTGTCCTTCCTGCAACGGCCAATTCTTACTACGGAGACACTGCAGGCATATCCAAATGTGAACGCTTCGAGACATTCCTCTGGCACTGGATGTCGTGTTTGTCGGTAGAGTAGCTGGCAACGGCATCTACCTGCTGGACTCAACAAGCTTGCCTCGAGAGTGTATGGGAAGACTCGGCGGCAACAGAAAAACGCTCATTTAGATACTACGGCTAAAACCTAGCTCGGTTGGACAGCTGATGCATTGTCACGCCATAGACATCCTTATCACAAGAAAGCTCGATCTTCCTAAGATGTCCAGCAACTCATGATGGCACTGTATATCGTCGTCGGACAATCAGCGGAAGTAGGGGGCGAGGCTAATCCAAACTGTGAATTTTGCCATTCCGTACTGCAAACGCCGTCAAACATTTTTACGAACAGCGAATTAGCTCAAAAGCTACGTATTTCCGTACTATGCTAGATATTGAAGTTTAGACGTATGGAGTTTATTTGTACAGCTTATTTTTAAGAGATCTAGTGCTGACCTAAGCTGGAGGCTGTGACACAAAATGTAAAGGGTGCCAAGGACATGGGAGAAACACGTTTGGACGTCCGACATCGTGTGCGTCTGGTTGGGGAGTACCATCAACTAGTGCCACGACCGCAAGTAGTTGTTGGCAATTGTTAGGCTACGAACATGCATTTATGTCATCGGCGTCGTCGAGTGCACCATAACAGTTTGCGTCTGACGAGCCAGAGCACAAGACTGAGCGGTTTCTGTTAGACAAAATACAACGGAGCGATGATGCCACTTGAAATGCTGATACTTTAGCAGCGGAGTGGGCAGCTGCCCATGGTTGTTCAGACACCATCCCTGTGACTTCACGTGTTACCACGACGGATGCATTCAAAGCTTTCACGTAAAAGTCTGATGAATCTAATTCCACTGCTGCTTCTGCAACGACGCCATGACTCGAACGATTGGAAAAGATTCGACGACAATCGCACCTTTGGTCGAGCTGTCGGACAAACGCGACGTCTGGGTATTAAATATGGGCAAAGACTGATGTACGTGCAACGCAAGGAAGCCCCACACAACAAACTGATTTACTTTGGTGATAGCGCGCCGCGTTCTCCACGCAAGGGACACGTACGATTGCTGTAAACGCGACTTATTGGCAGCGCCCATTGTTGGTGCAGGTGAGCCCGTGTTTTTAGAAAAGCTTGGTGCTACTGGATAGGCACAACATGGCGCTGTGTCAGTGCTAAACGGACAGAAGATAACGTGCTTGCTGTCGGTGTAGTCGACCACACTATCAGCTTTGGACTCTTTCGCAAGTAAAAAAGAGGCATTTAATGGGCCAAGCGACCCCTCGCTGACTCCATCGGAGCACACAAAGGGCGTGCGAAGCTCAAC